AACGGAAGCCTCCAGACCTTAAAAACACTTGCCCATGGATTCACAGCTAGTGAATGGCGACCTTAGGCCAGCATCTACTCTCAGCCACATGTCCTGTCCTCTCTGGGATCATGGCCGAAGCAGGCTGAATGGAGAGGCGCAAGACAAGGCTACTGAGCCAAGTTCAGAAGGAGCAGCTGAAACCACCAATGAAGAAGGCCCGGCCAGGACAAGGTACAGAAACCGAGAACATGACAGACTCTGGTCCCCAGCCCCTGATTCCCCAGCTAGCCTGATATTCCTCCATTCTGAACCACTCTGTTCAGGGAAGCAGGGGTCTTTGTACTAGACTCTGGATCTGGTCTGCACACTGGCTCTTTCACAACATTGAGCAAACCCAGGTCCCAGAACCCAACGCCCCTTCTTGGTGCGGCAGAGGCGGAGGTGAGCCTACCTAGTTATGAGGCCTAGTTGATGTTGAGGAGGCTCCTAGAGCACTTGGTGAAAGGTGCCCCGTAAATCTCAGACACTGAAGAATACTTCCACATCCATCGCAGTGTTTAATGTCCTGATTGATCTCCGGGGTAGTCCATTTCATTTGCTTGTTCAGGATGAATAGGCAGTCTGCTCCCTATGCTGTAGCCTAGGGCTCTGCATAAAATTATGCTAGCACTGTCTCTTTGGTAGCTTGCAATAAATTTAGCAGCAATGTTCCATCATTTTATCTGGATAATTGAGTTAACTATTCACCAGGAGTTGATACCAAACTTTTCAGCACTGGAGTGAAAAAAAAAAAAAATCCTCGCTCAGTTTATGTCAGAAAAACAAAGGTTTTTAGCTTGTACTGGAGAAGGAACGGGAAGGCCGGCAAGTTGCCTCCAGTCTGGAGAACAGTACTCTCTTACCCCACTGAGGGTGACTCCGAGGCATCATTTACAGAGGAACCAGTGGGGATATGCGAGCAGCGAGAGCTCGGAGGAGCAGACCGTGCCTTGGCTGGCCACTGGGGCTGGGGGCAGGGCCCTTGTCCTCCCAGCACCAGTGCACCCCACTACCACCCTCCCCACACCACACTCTCCGCTGCAGCAAATGAAATAACCGAGCATCTCCTGCACAGCCTTCCCCAGAAGTGCAACACCCCAGGCATCTATTATTAATAAGGATGGTTTCTCTGTCTCCCTTGAAACATTCTCAAAGGGCTTTCCCTTCCATTATGTCATTAGCTATCCCAGCAACCCTCTTGGGGGTGGGGGGCCCAGGAGTTATTATTATTGTTGTACAGGGGGAGGAGGTGGGCCCAAGGATTGGCTTGGAACCACGTAAATGGAAACAGGGTTGGGCTGACAATCCAGGTGCCTGGGGGTTTTTTTGTTGTTTTTTTTTTGTTTTTTTTTTTAAAGATTTTATTTATTTATTTGAGAGAGAGAATGAGATAGAGAGAGCATGAGAGTGGGGAGGGTCAGAGGGAGAAGCAGACTCCCCGCTGAGCAGGGAGCCCGATGCGGGACTCGATCCCGGGACTCCAGGATCATGACCTGAGCCGAAGGCAGTCGCTTAACCAACTGAGCCACCCAGGCGCCCCAGGTGCCTGGGTTTTGACACACCCTATATGCCTAACAGCGCCCGAGGTGAAGGATGGTGGAGTGACCCTGACTTCTCTCCAGCCCGGAGGAGTCCATGCAAAAGCTGGGATTAACCATGCCAGCCCCTGGAGTTGTTGTTGGGTGTCCTTGCTAAGCAACTCTATACAAGTATCCTATTGACTAGTTAGTAAGATACTCTCCTTTTAAGAAGGCTTCCTTGGACCTTATCTCATTTGAGGCTCTCATAGCTCAGAGAGTAGGGCCCCCACCCTAGTCTTTTCTCTTGAGATGAGGAAGTTGCACCAGAGAGGAGCATGGAGGCAGCCCCAGGACAAGAGCTTCAGTCAAGAGCAGTCCTGGAGTGAGAAAGGAGGTCCTGAGCTGGGGGCCGTGGATAGAATGAACGCCCATCATGCTAAAGAGAATTCCAGGCCACTAGCCTCTCTCCGATCATGCAGGATCTGTGAAAAACCCCACAGCTGTGGACTTGATAGGAAAAGCCAAGGTTTGGGTTGTAGGCCTTGGCCAGGGCTGGCTGGAGGGGAGCCAGTATGTCATTCAGGGAGGGCCTTACAGCTCCCCAGTCCTGGGCAGACTTTGAACTGGGTCTGCAGGGCTCCAGCCCAGCTCTGCTGTGAGGTGGCCAATAGCACTCCTAGCTCTGAACCTTGCCCTTGCTGCCAGATTTGGCACTGCAGGGTGGCACGCTGGCCACAGGATTGCCTCCTCTCCAGCTCCAGGGGCAAGGCTGAGCAGGGAGGCTGGCTCTGCAAGAGGGGCCATGGGACTCTGCAGACAGAGTGGGCTGATCCCTCTAGACCGGGGCTGGGGGTGGGGGGGCGGCATGTGGGCTGATGGATGGATGGCCTGGGGGCCAGAGTCCTGATTTCTATCTTTGGCTCTCTTGATGACACCTAGTTTAATTCCAGGAAGCTCATTTCAGCATATCCAGCATGGTATCTAACCCAGATAGACCTGGGTTTGAATTCTGCCACTCGTTTACCACTTAGCTATGTGTCCTTGGCAAGTCATTTAATCAATCATTCTGTGCCTCTTTCCTCTGGAAAGCAGGGAAAATAGCACCACTTTGCAGACTGTGATAAAGAGGGAAGACTGCAAAGAGCACCTGTGACAACAGGAAGTGGATACATGGGAGTCATTATTATCACCCCCCTTGTTGGCTTACAGGACACAGTGGCTATTCCCCAAGCTTTCCTCCCTTGTGGGCTCCGTGAGAGGGCAGACGAGCAAGGGGGAGCCATTTCCCAGAGCTGCAAACCTCCCAGGGAGTGCTCAGGCTCCATCTCCACTAGCCCCCAGCTAGCTGCCCACAGACCATAACTCTGGGCTATGGCCCCCAGGGGAGCAGGGAAAGCCAAAGCCTTTACTCTCCACCTCCTGCATACCAGGCCTTGCGGCTCCACCCCACGCCTGTCCCCAGGTAGGCAAGTGGCTTCCTCTCTGTGTGTGCAGCCTCTAACACTGTGACTGTGGACTCTGCCCTCCGAGAGCCGGGGGCCACTCTTGGTCTCTTTGTCCTCAGTTTTAATTGGCTCGAGGGGCAAGCCTAACACTGGTACTGCCGTTCAGGCATGAAGCCAACACTGAGTGCTCACACAGAATTTCGCATCACAGCGGTTTGTAAATGCCCTCAGAAATCAGCTTTCCAAAGTAGAGCTCCTCTGTAAATCCCATTTCTAGGTGGGAAACAGGCAGAGAGCGGTGACCCTCGCCTAGCAACTGACCCCATGGCTCTCCTCCCTGTCCTGTGGTTTCCTCTGGAGCAGAGGCGGGTGCTGGCTGGTGCCTGGGTGTCTGTGCGGGTGCAGGGCAGGCTCCCGTGCCTGTGAGAGTAGCCAGCCCGCGCCTCGGGGCCGGGGCCATGAGGGCTCAGCCAGCTGGGCCTGGCTGGGGACTGGAGCGGTTTCTAGCCCCGCAGGGGCAGACCGCTAAGTACAGGCCCCTGTGGCTCCCACCCTAGAGATGATCGCCCACGTGATGGCCTCCCCCCATCACGTGACCAGAGCCGAGAGCAGCACGTTGCTTCCAAAAGCTCTGAACCCTGGGAGCTCTAAGTGCTTAGCACACGACCAGGTGCACGTGGGCTCCGGTTTCAGTGCTTCTCCTGTTAGTGTCTGACCTCAGGAAAATCTCTTAAACCTTTCTGAACCCCAGATTCTTCCATCTATAAAATGGGGCTAGAAATACCTGCCCACAGGATTGCTGGAAGGGCTAAAGGAGCCCAAGGGAGTAGAGGCCTTAGTAGAGTGCTCAGCAAGGGTGGCCGTAATGATGCCGTCCGTGACTCAGAATGCCTCTGATTTTCCCCCCGACGGCTCGGGTGGACACTGCTCATCTCCCCACGAATCAAGATGCAGCTCTTTGCCTGCAGGTGGGGCTATCTTACAATTTAGCTGTCTTTCCCAAGGGGCTCTGCCCAAGCCTGTGGCCCTATGCAGGGTTGTGGGGTTCTAATGGGACTCGGGCCTGAGCCCCGCTTTCGAGGACCAGGGAAAGGCAGGCAGGGAAGCAGATGCTGCCATGGGAATCACTGCACTGTCACAGTGAGTCCAAGGGGCCACAGAAGCCCCGAGGACATCCTGACCTATAGTGAGGGACTAGTGAGACACAGTGAGAACCACCCAAAGACAGAGGGGACGAAGAACCGGTTGGGAGGGTAGCCAGAGGGATAGGTAAGCTAAGGGGCTGTGACCATGCTGAGTTCAGCTAGGGCAACACGCACCCCTGAAATTAAAATTAAGTCTTCCCTTTGCTGTAAACATAAAACAAAACATAGGGGTTACAAACCCAGAATCCCTTAGAGGCTCTCTGGCAAGGGAGACACTGATCAGGCTCATCAGCCTGGGAGGACCCACTAGTGGGACATGGAGTCAGAGGCTACAGCTGGGCCTCAGCAAGGCTGTGATGGGGTCTAAGGCCGATGCTCTGGAGGGCAGAATGGCCAGGGCTCATGACTGCTTGTGAGGGAGGAGGGGGAGTCAAGGGCGCCAACGCCATGCATCTTCATAGCTGGGTGGATGCTGGTGCCCTGGCTGGGAACCTGGGAGGAAGAGCAGCCTTTGGGCAAGATACTGCACTCAGTTTTGGACCTGCGGAGTTCGAAGACCTCAAGGAATGGAGTCCTGCCTGCGTCAGGGAGCTGAGTGTGGGAGTTGTCGACAGGGAAGGCAGAATTCTGAGCTCTGTTTCGGTGGTAAGATGAAAGGGGGCAGGGAAGACACCAGGGCAGCGGCCTCACCAGGCAGTGCCAGAGCTTCTCACCTGGGGTCCAGGGCTCCCTGGGGCCTCCCTGGGTGGCTTTTCACCAGGCCGGGCCAACCCAAACCCTCTTCCCCCAGGGGCTAGCAATTGCAAAGGAAAACCTCCGCCAACCAGAAGTCTCAGTGCAGTTGGTTTTTATTATTAAAGCCAAGTTGTAAAACGGCTGTCCCTGCACCCCACCATGGCCCTCCCACCCACCTCCAGATTCATCCCATTATGTCCTGTGAAGGTGAAAACTAGATCTGTCTGGAAAAGACTCAGAGATGCTCATGCCGAAGGAGAGAATGAGGACGAACGAAATAGGCTCAGATGGCGGTCTCAGATGGTGGTCTCTGTGTGACTGTGTCGGCTCCACCCCGGATTCCGGGAAAAGACGAGACGGCTGGGGGTGGGGCTAGATAGCCCCTGCTCACAGTGCTCTTCCCAGGGCTTCAGGGTGGGCGCCAGGGACGAAGGCCACGAAGAGGCTGGGCTGGTCCCTGCGCTCTACCCTGCTGAAGCTGGGCCACAGGCTGGTTTTTGTAAAAATGGTTTAAAAAGACCCCAGCCATGAGCACCACCCTCCCCTGAGCAAGGCCCGAGGAGACGCCACTCTGGGCTCTGAGGTCTGAGGCATGTGGCCTCCTGGCTCGGTGACACCTCCCTGGAGGCAGGCAGCACCCTGGGGGAGGCCCTGCGTGTGGCCCCCCGTGGCCTCCGGGGCCCTCGGAGAGCATCCAGATAGCTCTTGGCCCTCCTCCCACCCAGCCCAGCTGGAGGCTCTAGGCTTCAGGGACCCTGTGCAACTTCTGCTCTTTGGATTCCAAAGATCTGAACTTCTCCTCCAGCATGGGTGCAGCAGGCTGGAAGTGGATGACAGGCTTGATCTGAAAGACTGTGAAGCCCTCCTGATTCTTCTGGTTGAAAAGACTTACCCTGGGCTCCAGCTCAGGGCTGCTTTGGGCCGAGCCCGTGGGGCTGGGCCAGGTGAGAGGGGCTGGGTCCAAGGCCCCCTGGGACGGGCAGGGGTCCTCCGACAGGGAGGACAGCAGGTCCTGGACCGCGGCCTCTGCCATCTGCTGCTGGGGTGGTGGCGGCAGTGGCCGAGGAGAGGGGCCGGGCTCTGAGGATGGCTCCTTGCGGCCGGTGCTGCAGTCTGTGGAGGAGCCCAGCGTCTGGCTGCTGTCACTCTGGGCCCGGGTGACAGAGCTGCAAGTTGAGTGGGAGGCGCTCTCGGACGTGGCACTGGCACACGTGCCACTGCTGCTGGGCTTCAGGGCCACGTCGACCAAGCAGAGGTCCGAGGAGAGATCGGGCCGGTGGATGTCAACGGCGGCTGTGGTGACTACGCATACGGCTGGCTCTGGGGCACCACTGTCTGCAAGAAAGGAGGGGATGCCCGTCACACCTCACCCTCTGCTACACCTCTGTGGGCCCTGATGGGGGCGCCTCTGACCCAAATGGCAGCTAGCAAGTGTGCACGGGCTCTGCTGGGGCACGCCTGGGTCTGTGGTCCAATTTCCCAGAGTTCACGGCCCGGCCCCGCAAGGATTCCGCCCCGCCCTCCTCTGGCGGACTTCACCAGACACGCGACACGCACTGGCCAATCATCTGTGAGGACTGATCTGTGGCCTCTCTGAACAGCTGTGCTCTGCCCGGCAGTCAGCAGTGTTCTAGAATAGACGGTAGCTGTTCTGCCCCCAGGTGCTGGAGGAAAGCTGACAACCCGGGAGCAGCGTCCCTGGCTGATCTGCCATGGACCTGTGTTGATTTAAACCACGGAGATGTTGGGGTTATTTGCCACGGCAGCATAACCTAGCTCATCCTAACTCAGAAAGCAGGAGGTGCCAGGACTAGGAATCCGGGCTTCATGGTCAGGTGGAGTCATTCAGTTTTAAATGGGGCCAACACGAGAGTGACATGATCAGAGCTGTGTCTTCAGAAGATTGCATCATCCCTGTAGGATGCATTGCAGGGTGAGCACAGAGAACACTCCAGAGGTCTTTAAGGAAGAAGTACCAAGGGGCTGCATTACAGTGGGTACAGTGGGGGCAAGGTCTCTCCCCAAGTTGTGGAGAGAGTGCACTGGGGGAGAGGTCTGAGCTAGAGATGGTGGTCTCTGAAATCAGCAGACTGGATGAAGCTTTGAAAGAGGGAGAGAAAGAGAGAAGAGATCTTTAGGGGGTGACATTGTAGAAAACAATCCACTGCATGACACATGTCACACAATGTAACATTCTAGCCTCACAAAGGAGTATACGAGGATTCAAGGAGTGTCAAATACAAACTACTGAGATTCAAGACATTGGCCAAGGAAAATGGGGTATTCTTTTAAAACTCAACCTTTCCCACAAATGAAAACCACTAGGCTCCCTGAAACTTCTTTCAAGAGAAAGAATGAAACAAAACGAGCAAGGACATGCGCCACACCTGTTGCTTCTCAAGCCCAGCTCTGCTGTTACCTCACCCCCATCGTGATCACTCCGTGAGGGTCTCGGGTTGAGAGGCGCTGAGGTCTCCTAGATTTCTGATTCCAGCCCCCTCTCCATATGAGGACCCCCATGCTGCCCTCATTAGTGATCACGGAGTACTCCAACCTCCACACCCATAGCCCCGGCGCTGGACTCTGCTGGGAGCTAAAGCTGCAGGTATTTGAACCTGAACTCTGCCTGCAGTGATGGTCACAGGCACCAGGGGATGGGCACGCCAGGCCGAACTGTCCCCATCCTCAACGTTAGGGGCTGCAAGGGGCGGCATGTGCAGAGTGGCCCCGGACACACACTCACCACTGCTGGGCCCGTTGTAGTACTGGCTGACGTAGCTGTTCATGTCGTCTCTCACGGCGGCACCTTGGCAGAAGAGGACAGAGAAGGGGAGTGTGGCAGCGTGCAGAGAGTCCAAGAGCAGGCTGTGGCCAGTTCGTGTCCCTCCCTCTGTACTCCCACCCCTCCCCATCACCACGAGAAGAGGCTCATGTCTCCCAGGAGCTCTCTGCTGCTTCCCAATCCTCAGTGGGGATCCGCCCCAAGGCTGGGCTGGACTGGGCGTCAGGGACCCAGGTCCTCATGAAGCATCTGGCTTGACATAGGACATGGGCAGAGCCTTTTCCTTCTCTGTCCTGTCTCCCCCAACTGTGAGATGGAAACAGTTCCTCAGGGCTTTCCCTGCCAGGATGGCCCAAGTCTCTGAGTCTACCTGAGGTTCTCAGGGTGCCCACTGTCCTCAGTACAAAAGTCTCAAAGCCTTGCTAGCGGCCCCACCCAGCCAGCTGCAGAGGCTGATCGTTGGTGACAGCCCGCTGGCTCACCTATCAGAGGACCCAGTCTCCCACGCAGTACGGGGATGGGCCGGGGGCTGCTCTTCCCCCCAACCTATGAAGTTCCTAGCATGCAGTGAGCGCTCGATAAATAGTTATTGCATGCATAATGCATGACGAGGTGTAAATCTGTCCAAGGAGATGACATGGGAACAAGGGTCTCAAGGAAATATTGGTTCATCGTCTTGACAGGAATAAAGAAGGAATGGGAGAGAGGAGAGGTGAGAAATTCAGAGTGGCCTGAGAATGGGAGGAAAAGCAGATGACTGGAGACCCCAAGGAGCTTGGCCTTGTTCTAAGGGCACTGAAGAACCACAGGAAAGTTTGAACATGGTCAGGTGTGACTCACTCCCAAGGTTGTGGGGAGAGTAGTTCAGAAGGTGCCAGACTTTAGGCAGAAAGACCAGAAACGAGGCCCAGGTGAGGCTGACAGGTTCTGAGGTGGGGATGGGTGGTGATGCCTGTTGGGACAGAAGGGAGGGATCAGGGTCAAGTGATAATTAGGAGGGACCTGGCAGGGTTTGGAGAATGACAAGATGACTCAGTTGACTCAACTTGTCAGACTGAGCTCAGGGGTTGCTCTTTAGCAACTGTGGTCTCCCCTGGGTCCTAGGGTCCCTCTTAGGAATCAGACCTGATTTCAAACCTCAACCCCACCACATTTTAGCTAAGGACCTTTCGTTTAGGTTCTCTCTAAGCCTCTGTTCCCTTATCTGTTAAGGAGATTAAAGGAGCTAACAAATGTCAGATTTCTCGAGTGGGTTCAGGCACACAGAAGGCCTTCAACACACGGGAGTCTAGTCCTTCCTCTCCTACGGAAGTCTGAGGGAGTCCACACGCCTGGACGCTTCTCCCTTGAGCGGTGGTCTACGGATGAATGGACCAGACGCTTTCTGTGGCCGCCTTCCCGGGCACACCTGAAACCACTGCGGAAGCCAATCGGCTGGACATTGGGAGGCTTCGAGGCGGCACATACAGACCTGGCTCCCAAAAACTTTTTTGGCCTCTTTTGATCTTTAAATGCCTGGGGTGAGAGGTGTGTTTTGCATTAATGCCTGAATTGAGGGAGGGGCCTGAGGCTGGCTCTAGGCCCTGATCCAGGATCAGCCAGCAAAGCTCCCTCAGAATCACAGAACAATACAAATCTCCATGGCTCTTCGTTATTGACGTGGTAAATGCTGTGTGGCCCTGCAGATCACCCTGGGGGTCAGGTGGAGGCTGGGGAGGCTGCTCCTGGCCAGCAGTGAGAGTAGGCGGTGGCACCAGGCCTCTTGCGCCAGACAGGAGGTTCTGGTCACTTCCCTCGGGATGAGCCTTCGGCCTTGACTGCGGAGGCCTTGTGACATGGGCAGAACTGTGAACTCAGCTAAAGTATCCGCAGACCCGTGAGAATTCATCCCAAGGGAGTTACAGAAGGTGGCCTGGGGTGAAGAAGAAAAACCAGACCCTAGAAAACTGGACGGCTACATGCAAACAAATGAAACTGGACTACCTTCTTATACTATACTCAAAAATAAACTCAAAATGGATGAAAGACCTAAATATGAGACCTGAAACCATAAGCTCCCAGAAGAGAGCACAGGCAGTAATCTCTCTGACATCGGCTGTAGCAATGTTTTTCTCGAAATGTCTCCTAAGGTAAGGAAAACAAAGGAAAAAATAAATTACTGGGACTAGACCAAACTAAAAAGTGTCTGCACAGCAAAGGAAACCATCAACAAAATGAAAAGGTAACCTACTGAATGGAAGAAGATATTTGCAAATTATTTTTGATAAGGGGCTATATCCAAAATACTTAAAAAACTCATACCCTCAACAGCAAAACACCATTAAAACACGGGCAGTGGACTTGAATAGACGTTTTTACAAAGAAGACATCCAGATGGCCAACAGACACATGAAAAGATGCTCCACATCACTCCTCATCAGGGGAAATGCAAATCAAAACCACAATGAGATATCACCTTACACCTGTCAGATTGGCTCAAATCAACAAAACAAGAAACAACAGGTGTTGGCAAGAATGTGGAGAAAAAGGAACCCTCGTGCACTGTTGGTGGGAATGCAAACTGGTGCAGCCACTCTGGAAAACAGTATGGAGGTTCCTCAGGAAGTTAAAAATAGAGCTACCTTACAATTCCACCACTGGGTATTTACCCAGAGAAAATGAAAATGGTAATTGGAGAGATACATGCACCCCTATGTTTAGTGCAGTAGCATTTACAACAGCCAAGATATGAAGCAACCTGAGTGTCCATGGATAGATGAATGGATAAAGATGTGGTACACACACACACACTGGAATATTGGGCATAAAAAAGGATGAGATCATGCCATTTGAGGCAACATGGATGGACCTAGAGGGTATTAGGCTAAATCAGAGAAAGACAAATGCCATATCACTTCACTTACATGTGGAATCTAGAGAACAGAGGAATAAACAAACAAAAAGCAGAAACAGACCCATACATACAGAGATGGGAGGAGGTGGAGGATGGGCAGAATGGGCGAAGGGGAGTGGGGGCTGTGGGCTTCTGGTTATGGAATGAGTAAGTCACAGGAATAAAGGGCACGGCCTGGGGAATCCAGTCGATGACTGTAACAGTGTGGTATGTGACAGATGGTAGCCACACTTGTGAGCACAGCGTAACATACAAACTTGTAAAATCACTGTTGTACACCTGAAACTAATGTAACATTGTGTCAACTGAGCTTCAATAAAAAAAATTATAAAAAGGGAAACCGCAAGTCTTATTAAAAAAACAAAAACAAAAAAACCCAGATCCTAGTTCCCGTCCTGTGCGTGCCGCAGCCATGAGAACTTGAGCAGGTCACCTCCCCTTCCTGGGCCTCAGTTTCTTCATCCGTACCACCAGGGGCTGGGCAGGCTCTTGTGGATCGTGAGCGGCTGCGCCGGACGCCCCCGGCACATCCACCAGCTCTGGAAGCTCCAAGAGGGGAGAGAGCAGCGCGGGAGGGGGCCAGAGGCATCAGGGCCATCGCCGCATGCCTGGGCAGGAGTCACCTCGCTGCTGACAGGGGCTCTCCACCTTGGCCGGCATACCTGGGGAAGGGGGTGCCCACCTCTCTGTTGAGCAGCTCGGATAACCAGCTGTGGGCAGCTCTTGTTCACCTGTGCTCAGCAGGACCACAGTGTGCCCCACCCTGCGCCGGGTACTGAGGCCAGGACTCCCTGCCTCCAAGGAACACAGTCAGGGCCTCCCCAGGATGTCATGCCTTGGTCAAACAGCCCATCTCCGTTTAGTCAAGCCTTGCAGAATGTGGTCCTGTCTCCACAGGTACCACGGCTAAGCCGATTGCTCTTCACTGTCTATGTGACAGACCTTCTGACACTTAAAAAGCCCTCCTGAGAAGTCTGTTCTGGGAAACCACCGTCCGTTTCCCACCCGTCCCGAGTTTTCCAGCCTTCCCACTCTGAAGGCCTCCCTCTGGGCTACAGAGGTGACCAAAATGGGGGGGGGGGTAAGGGAAGGAGCCGGCATTCACTGCGCCTTTGAAGCCCCACACCTTGGGTTCGGTACACCCCATGCTTCTTTAATCCTCACCACTGCCCTGCGAGGCAGGGATGACTCAGTAGACTGGCCCTTCCCAAGATCTGGGATCACTCCACTCATGCAGCCCAGCAGCCTCCTGGTGGGGACAGCGACCACCCTACTCTGCTGACTCTCGAGCTGCCCAGGGCTTCCATGCAGTGGCGGGGCAGGCCAAGCCCTGCGCACACTTGGCTGTGTCACCCCCACGGAGGACTCTGTGTTCCTCATCCCAGGCTAATGTAAGCTTGCTGGTTTCAGCAGAGAGGGCAGTGTGCTGAGGAGCACTCTTAATCTTGGCTCAGTGTCAGGGATTAGCTCTTCCTCCTATCTCAGTGTTGATGGAGAATGCCACATGCTCATCTACACCATTGAAGAAACCACCTAGGCTAGGAGAACTGTAGCCCAATGTCTCTCCTGAGCTTCTGGCTGACCTGGTCAACTGGACGTCTTCTGCAGGACCTCCAGCCACCACTGACGCAACATGTCCACAACAGAACTCAGTTTCTCCCTCCACCTCCATCTTGGTGAATGGTTTCCTTGCCCACCCAGGCTGGGAACCTGGTCACTTCGCTGTGCTTTCTCTTTCCTTACCAACAACCCAACTCCTACCAAGTCTGTGACTAGTCGAGGGACCCCCTGATACCTCTGCTATGGTCTGGTGGTCCAGCCATAGGTCAGACCTCATGCTTTTCCCTTTGGACTCTTGTCACATTTGTGGGTTTAATGAACAGGATTCTAGCTCCATGGATATGTGTGACACTGAACCTAGGTCCCACCCAGGTGGCCTCCAGAGGTTTGTCCAGTCTGCATTTGTTCCCTCTACTCCAAACCTGGACCCACACAGGGGCCTCAGAATGAGCTTTAAGACAAATCTGAGGGGCGCCTGGGTGGCTCTGTCAGTTAAGCGTCTGCCTTCGGCTCAGGTCATGATCCCGGGGTCCTGGGATTGAGCCCCGCATCGGGCTCCCTGCTCGGCGGG